GCTGCAATGTTTCCTTATTCCTATTGAGAATCTGCTTCAATGTTTCCTTATTTCTACTGAAAATCTGCTGGAGTGTTTCCTTATTCCTAGTCAGAATCTGCTGCAATGTTTTCTTATTCCTATTCAGAATCTGCTGCAATGTTTCCTTATACCTATTGAGAATCTGCTGCAATGTTTCCTTATTCCTATTGAGAATCTGCTGCAATATTTCTTTATACCTATTGAGAATCTGCTGCAATGTTTCCTTATTCCGATTGAGAATATTGAGAATCTGCTGCAATGTTTCCCTTATTCCTATTGAGAATATTGAGAATCTGCTGCAATGTTTCCTTATTCCTATTCAGAATCTGCTGCAATGTTTCCTTATACCTATTGAGAATATTGAGAATCTGCTGCAATGTTTCCTTATTCCTATTGAGAATCTGCTTCAATGTTTCCTTATTTCTACTGAAAATCTGCTGGAGTGTTTCCTTATTCCTAGTCAGAATCTGCTGCAATGTTTTCTTTCCTTCCTATTCAGAATCTGCTGCAATGTTTCCTTATACCTATTGAGAATCTGCTGCAATGTTTCCTTATTCCTATTGAGAATCTGCTGCAATGTTTTTCTTATTCCTATTCAGAATTTGCAATGTTTTCTTATACCTATTGAGAATCTGCTGCAATGTTTCCTTATTCCTATTGAGAATATTGAGAATCTGCTGCAATGTTTCCTTATTCCTATTGAGAATATTGAGAATCTGCTGCAATGTTTCCTTATTCCTATTGAGAATATTGAGAATCTGCTGCAATGTTTTCTTATTCCTATTCAGAATCTGCTGCAATGTTTCCTTATACCTATTGAGAATATTGAGAATCTGCTGCAATGTTTCCTTATTCCTATTGAGAATCTGCTTCAATGTTTCCTTATTTCTACTGAAAATCTGCTGGAGTGTTTCCTTATTCCTAGTCAGAATCTGCTGCAATGTTTTTTATTCTATTCAGAATCTGCTGCAATGTTTCCTTATACCTATTGAGAATCTGCTGCAATGTTTCCTTATTCCTTTGATTCCTATTGAGAATATTGAGAATCTGCTGCAATGTTTTCTTATTCCTATTCAGAATCTGCTGCAATGTTTCCTTATACCTATTGAGAATATTGAGAATCTGCTGCAATGTTTCCTTATTCCTATTGAGAATCTGCTTCAATGTTTCCTTATTTCTACTGAAAATCTGCTGGAGTGTTTCCTTATTCCTAGTCAGAATCTGCTGCAATGTTTTCTTATTCCTATTCAGAATCTGCTGCAATGTTTCCTTATTCCTATAGAATATTGAGAATCTGCTGCAATGTTTTCTTATTCTTTCATCTCCTATTGAGAATCTGCTGCAATATTTCCTTATACCTATTGAGAATCTGCTGCAATGTTTCCTTATTCCTATTGAGAATATTGAGAATCTGCTGCAATGTTTCCTTATTCCTTCATTGAGAATATTGAGAATCTGCTGCAATGTTTTCTTATTCCTATTCAGAATCTGCTGCAATGTTTCCTTATTCCTATTGAGAATATTGAGAATCTGCTGCAATGTTTCTTTATTCCCTATTGAGAATCTGCTGCAATGTTTCCTTTCAGAATCTGCTGCAATCCTATTGAGAATCTGCTGCAATGTTTTTCCTATTCCTATTCAGAATCTGCTGCAATGTTTCCTTATACCTTCATTGAGAATATTGAGAATCTTGAGAATCTGCTGCAATGTTTCCTTATTCCTATTGAGAATCTGCTTCAATGTTTCCTTATTTCTACTGAAAATCTGCTGGAGTGTTTCCTTATTCCTAGTCAGAATCTGCTGCAATGTTTTTTATTCCTATTCAGAATCTGCTGCAATGTTTCCTTATACCTATTGAGAATCTGCTGCAATGTTTCCTTATTCCTATTGAGAATCTGCTGCAATATTTCCTTATACCTATTGAGAATCTGCTGCAATGTTTCCTTATTCCTATTGAGAATATTGAGAATCTGCTGCAATGTTTCCTTATTCCTATTGAGAATATTGAGAATCTGCTGCAATGTTTTCTTATTCCTATTCAGAATCTGCTGCAATGTTTCCTTATACCTATTGAGAATATTGAGAATCTGCTGCAATGTTTCCTTATTCCTATTGAGAATCTGCTTCAATGTTTCCTTATTTCTACTGAAAATCTGCTGGAGTGTTTCCTTATTCCTAGTCAGAATCTGCTGCAATGTTTTCTTATTCCTATTCAGAATCTGCTGCAATGTTTCCTTATACCTATTGAGAATCTGCTGCAATGTTTCCTTATTCCTATTGAGAATCTGCTGCAATATTTCCTTATACCTATTGAGAATCTGCTGCAATGTTTCCTTATTCCTATTGAGAATATTGAGAATCTGCTGCAATGTTTCTTTATTCCTATTGAGAATCTGCTTCAATGTTTCCTTATTTCTACTGAAAATCTGCTGGAGTGTTTCCTTATTCCTAGTCAGAATCTGCTGCAATGTTTTCTTATTCCTATTCAGAATCTGCTGCAATGTTTCCTTATACCTATTGAGAATCTGCTGCAATGTTTCCTTATTCCTATTGAGAATCTGCTGCAATATTTCCTTATACCTATTGAGAATCTGCTGCAATGTTTCCTTATTCCTATTGAGAATATTGAGAATCTGCTGCAATGTTTCCTTATTCCTATTGAGAATATTGAGAATCTACTGCAATGTTTCTTTATTCCTATTGAGAATCTGCTTCAATGTTTCCTTATTTCTACTGAAAATCTGCTGGAGTGTTTCCTTATTCCTAGTCAGAATCTGCTGCAATGTTTTCTTATTCCTATTCAGAATCTGCTGCAGTTTCCTTATTCCTATTGAGAATCTGCTGCAATGTTTCCTTATTCCTATTGAGAATCTGCTGCAATGTTTTCTTATTCCTATTCAGAATCTGCTGCAATGTTTCCTTATACCTATTGAGAATATTGAGAATCTGCTGCAATGTTTCCTTATTCCTATTGAGAATATTGAGAATCTGCTGCAATGTTTCCTTATACCTATTGAGAATATTGAGAATCTGCTGCAATGTTTCCTTATTCCTATTGAGAATCTGCTTCAATGTTTCCTTATTTCTACTGAAAATCTGCTGGAGTGTTTCCTTATTCCTAGTCAGAATCTGCTGCAATGTTTTCTTATTCCTATTCAGAATCTGCTGCAGTTTCCTTATTCCTATTGAGAATCTGCTGCAATGTTTCCTTATTCCTATTGAGAATCTGCTGCAATGTTTCCTTATACCTATTGAGAATCTGCTGCAATGTTTCTTTATTCCTATTCAGTTTTTTTGCTATCACTTGTATGCTTAATCTTCACACACTCTCTGCATTTGTCTGGCTTTTGTGTTTTTAATTTCTCAGATCCTTTTGTACATCTTGTGCTTTCTTGAACCTCCACTGAAAAACAATTTTATCATAGCATATTTCCTGTAAACAATTTTCAGTTGTGCTTGTGTTTCACTTAGCAATTTTGACAACCTTCATACAGAAGTTGATTTTAATCTGCTGCTCCAGCTGACTTACAATCATATTTTACCAACAGTATGATACCAACTCTACTGCTTGGCAATGAATGACTCATCTAGTGTGAAAGTGCAAATTAAAACATCTGCTCAGGTACAAACATTTGCCTGACTGCTTCCAGAAATATGCTGTGGTCATTCTTGGAATTGTCAACGCTTATATATAAAGTGTGTCAGTGTTAAGATTTTCTTGCTTGAATCCTTTTCTGTCCTTTGAGGATACCATGATTTAAGGTATGGGGTGTGGAGCTGCTGTGGCCATGTTTCTGTAAGTGGTCAGACAACTTTATGAAGAAATTGGGAATGTTTATCTTTTATCCAACCCCAATGAATTGAAAGAAGAAAATCATTTCATTTCTTGTCCTAGCAAGATTTTGAACAAACTGACTCTTGTTTCAGTATGTTGACAAAAGGAGTTTTCATTTTTTATCACTACCAAATGTTTTTTTGTACAGTTGTATCTCCTTGATCCTGTACATGTGAAATATGGACATTGCAGTATCATGTGAAGTTCTTGGAAAACGGTAATTGACAAAAATGAAGTGTAAGTTCTTAGAATTCTTTGATTCAGTTACAAATGGAAAGAATTTTATTGTGTCAGTTTATAATGGTTCTAACAGCATTTTGTAACTGAATCAAAGAATTCTAGTTACCGATTCCCAAACTAAATGAAACAGATTCAAAACCTGCTGAACTATAAGGAGCTTTTGGATTCGAGAGAATATATCTTGGCTGCAAATTCCACCAATTGGTCAATGATTCAATATGTTGTGTCTCCAGTCTTGTTCATATCAAAAACTCGGAAAATACCTGTTGCATGTTCACAAGGAAACAAAAGATGAAAACTAACATCATTGTGAGAAATTAGAACTTGAACCCAGTTTCTAACATAAAATAGATGTTTTATTCAGAGCTTTGTTTATTTGTTTTGTGTAGGTAGGTAAGTAGGTGAAACTTGGGATAACTTTTGGCATTTTAGTCTTATAGCTCAGCATTTTCTTCTACAACTCTCTCTGACTATCTGAATGTCATGACTCATGGTTGGCAATATGAACAGGTGGCAATAGCACAACAAGAACAGTCCAGAACTGATTTCTTCAATTTCAGTTGTGACTGTTAATATAGACCAGTAACCAGAAATCATCACTATTCGGCTTTGTTATCACTTAACCCCCAAATGATTTCTTTTATTTATTTGTTCTTTGTTTCCTTTCAAAACCTTTTAGAAAACCTGGCTTCCATAAAGCTTGAAGCATTTGAGAGTGACATAAAACCACACCTTTCTTTTCTATGTGGGTGTCCCACTCATATTATCACAATCTCAGTGTCTTTAAAAATTATGTTGTCTGGATATGCGCATGAAATTTTTTTATCTCTTATTCACAAGTTTGCAATCTCGTTCTTTATTTCCTTTTATTTACTTATTCATTTTTTTCTTTCTCTTTGCATAGGTTCGTTCCATAATCATTCGTCGGACCCACCTGATTCAGAATGGTTTTACTCAGTTGTCGACTTTGAGCATGTGTGTAATGGTTGCATTCCACCACCATGGGGGAGTTTGATGAACCAGTTGAAAGACTTTCCTTTGTACATCTCCCAACTTAACAAACATATAAGAAAATTCAGTGTCAACCTCTCAAAAAAAACTCATCTCTACCTTATGATGCTGAACAACCTCACAGATCTGACGGAAGATCTGAAATTATCTGTCTTTTGAAGAACACTTGAAAACAGTTGAATATTTTCTTTCTTTATTAGACACTGATTTACCCAGGCTAATGTCCTGATATTGGTTGTTATAGCCACAATATTTTGGTTGTTTTAACCTGAGTTTTTTAAGGTTGGTTACCTTATGGTAATTTTGAGTCAAACTCTTCCATTCCATGAAATGTTTTCATTCCACTGTCTATACTTAGGGATATCTTGTCTCAGTTAATTCTTCCTAGTGATATTGCTTCCTTTGAACCAAAGTACAGGCTATATCCACATCCCGGGTAAGATGATAAACTACATATGACAACAAGGCCTCTGGTCAGGAGGTTTTGAGGAGCATGGAACCACCTCTTATTTGTTGGTTAATCCAGGGTGGTAGCACCTGTTAGGGTCCTAGCTATGGGTAAACTGGTGTCAAAATACTATGAATGTGTAAAAATAGGTTTTACTACCAGCAATACATTTTTGTGAAAAATTATTACCAGCAATGAATTTTTGAAGAAAAATTATCATCAACAATACATTATTACCAGCAATACATTTTTGGAAAAAAAATCACTGGCAATACATTTTCGGAAAAAATATCAGCAGTATATTTTTTGAGGAAAAAATATTACCAGCAATACATTTTGAAAAAAAAATATTACCAGCAATAAAAATCTTGTTGGCATTAAATAACCTATTGAGGTTGATATGCTGTAAAACAAACCAAACCAAAGTACAGGTTGAGCATCACTAACCTGGCATCACTGGCACCTAGCCAGATAAGTGATTTTGCCAGATTACTGATGGTTATATTAGAATACACTTAACAACTAACCACTTCATCCTACCTTTCCTCTGTAAATCAGTACATATTGATTATTTAAAGAAGATCTAAAAATCAAATAAAAATCAAATGAATGTATGGTGTTTGCACTTCACACCACAAGAAGAACCTCCTGAATTCAAGACTGGGGCTAAATGTCAGCAGGTTAGAATAAAAATGCACAAAAGACCAGTAGAAATTCCTTGATGGAAAATGTACCAAAACATATGGCAGCTAGTGTCACCAAAACAGTATTGGTAGGTCCGTGTGGAGATCCGGGAAGTCCAAAATTTCTACCGTGGAAATTAGTGTTGGATTGCTGCTTGAACCATTTTACTGATTGCCAGATTGGTGATGGCCAACCTATATATGACTTTCTGCACTACCCAACCCAGGGATCTAGTTGCCTGTTGGTCGTGAGTTCAATCTCTGTGTGAAAAGTTATCTATTTTAGTTTGAGTGGCAGAGACAAGTGACATCACAAGTACAAATTGACTCAGAAAAATTAATTCATATGTAATGTTCTTTAACATGTACAGTGGAATGAAGGCAATCTGCTCTTCCTTCCCGTGGATTAAATAAAGTGTTTATTTGAATTTCCAAGAAGATGATTAATGGAGAAGACTGACTATTAACCAAGAAGGTTACTAACAAACATTTGAAGGAAGTGAAGACATTTTTCAATAACAACCAAAATGAAAAAACTCGGCCCTGCAAATGAATACGAAATAGTGATATTTTCTTAAATACAAAATTAATTTTTTTTTTTATATCCCTTGAGATTTTTCTGAAATATATAAGTGCTAATGTTAAAACACAGAATACAAAAAGAAAAGAGGGAAAAAAAAAATCTCAGAGAGAGATTTTTGCTAAATATTTCATTGTTGTCATTTTGTTTTCCTGTCCAATAACCTGGTTTCATTTTGAATCACAGGTGGGAAAGGTTTTGTGTAAACTGTTTATTTGGTCCTCATTTGAAAAAAACTGAATGAATTTAATGAAGAGTTTTGATTTTTCTATCATCTATTTCAGTCACTTAATTTGAGGAAAGGATAAAGAGAAGGATGGGGATAAGGATCAAGACATCAGAAAACGTCGATTGATATTATATTTGAAGATTATAGCTATCAGGAAAGCAAGTAAGAGGAAGGGAGTTCCACTGGCAGGAAGTGCAAGAAAAGATGCTGTTGAAGTAGAAGAGATGGTTACACTTAACTGTTTCGACAGTGAAAGGGTGGGACTGAGATGCCAACTTAGTAGCACGCTTAAATTCATGCGGTTGGGGTGCCAGTTAAAGTAGCTCGTCAGAGGAGTTGCCATGAAAATATTTGTAGAAAAGACAGAGGGAAGCCACATCAGTGATTGTAAGCGAGATGCCAGCTCAGGGCCTATCACATTGATAAATGAAATAACACATGTTTCAGGGAAAATGATCGATATGACTGCAGCAATTTTTATCTTTTATTTTCTCAGAGAAGTGGCTTGAGACTGATGTGAATTTTTTTTTTTTTTGGATTAGATTCTTGTTTGATTAAATTGTCATGACTTTCCACACACTACTTTTTTTTTTATTATAGGTACCTCCACTTTTTTGGCATAAATTTTCGATACCAAAGGTTTAAAATTAAATTTTAAAAATGAAAAATCTTTCTTGAAGATTTCATTTTAGCTTGAAAGCTTAATAATTAAATTTATTATTTCCATTAAGTAAAATATTCTGGTGTATTTCAATTATATAGATTGGAATGTCATTTAATTTCGATTTCTTGAAATTTTCATAAAAGCAGCCATTTTCTTAAATTTAAGAAATTTGTAAACAAAACAAATTTTTCTATTTTAAAATTCCTTCAAAAAATAAATATATATTTCTAACATGTTATTTTAGTAAAATTAGAAAGTTTAAAGTTAAATTAATCTGATTTGAAATAAATATTACTTATAGCATAAAAAAATCATATACAACCAATTATTAACAATTATTTCCCCAATGTTTATATACAATGGCATAACATATTTACAAAACTAAATAAAACTTCTGTTAGGATTGTAGTAAATTTCGTATACTGTGGCAAAGAAGTGGCAATGGACAAAAATACTTAACTAGTAAGAAAAAACTGTCTTTTATAGAATTTCACTTTGTTTTTAACTTTAATTGAAAGCCAAATTATTAAATTTTCTATTTCCAGTAAGCAAAGTGTATTTCAAATAGAAATTATTTTGAGTACAATCTCAACTTTTTGGTCACTTTCAGAAATTCAGCCATTTTTGACATTGCTAAACAAAAGTTAATTCTTGTTTTTAAAAATCTTCCAAAAATAAAATATATTTTTCTGAAACTTTATTTGAGGAATATTAGCTGATTTAAAGTATAATCTGATTTGAAAAAATATATACTTCAAATTTAAAATAACAGAGAAATGGATTTTTTTAAACAAGCAGTAGCAGTGATTACGTACTTATCATCGCTTGTCAATCACATAAGTGCTGATAAAGGTGTTGACAGATTTATTATTGTTCTACTGAGACTTTATCTGTTAAAACATAATTTAAGGAAATGACAGATGAACTCCTTTTTTATATAATTTTTAATCTTAAAAATGTTGGAAAATATTCTCTGTAATCCAATTTTAGGAATGTTGACTTTAAATTTGATATAGTCATTGCTCTTGTTTTCTGATAATGACCATATTTTCAAAAATGGGCACATTATATAATATTTTATATACATAAAAAAATAAAAATTTTCCAATTTTTTTAGTAAGTATAGTTTTCACTTAATAACAACATTACCTAATCAGATGAAAGTAATGCAGAATTTTAATATATATTATAAATTATAATTAAAATAAAAAAAATGATGCAAACAATTCTTGTAAAAATTCATTATTCATTGAAAAATTTTTTCTTAAGTCAGTGTCCTTAATAAATCTTATTTATAAAAGCAATTAAAACTTCTCTAATCAAATAATGTCATAGTTTTATTGCATTTTTTATTTGATGATTTGGAGCAGATTTTTGGGAAATGAGTAGTTTGAAAAAAAAAAATGATGATTTACATTCTCCAAGAAGTCCTACTTTCAACTAATAATACAAATTTTAAGATTGAAACTTAATTTCTCGAAATTTCATGAAATTAAGTAAGTGTGTGGTGTAACATGTATTTTCTAAAAAAAATTTAAAAATTACTTTCATTCATTTGTGAATAAGTCCTGAAAGTTTCATTAGAATCTGACAATTTGATTTTTTGCAAAAATTTCCAAATCAATGGTTTTTTCACCGGAAAACTTTGACAAAAAAAAAAAAAAAATTTAAAAGGAACATTTTGAACATGTTAGAAAGGAGTAAAAAGTTTAAAAAAATACTTTGATCATTTCTCTTAATAATAACATAAACATTTTGACAATAAAACTTTGTATTTATTGTTTGGGTCCTTTTTTCATCATTGAAACTTATTCACATCCTCCTGAAAAATCCTGGAATTTTTTTACACTGATCTGTGGGAATCCAGTTTATTCATATTGTTCTTTTACAGATCTGAAATTTTTGCAATTATAGTTTTACATACATATATATATATATATATATATATATATATATATATATATATATCACTTTAAATGTTATATTTAGTGGATGTACATTTCCGAGTAGACATCACTTTATTTTAAACAGTGTAAAGCTATGTCTATCATTCTGCGCATTTGAGAGTCTTAATAAAGAAAAACCATTGTCCTCTTTGTAGGGGAAACTTCTATACAACCCAGATTGCTTTTTCAGACCAGTGAACCACTGAAGACTTTCAGTCAAGCAAAAGTTAATTAACCTGTTTAAGAAATGCCCATATCTTTTTCACTATTTCTTGATGCTATATATATAAATATATATATATATAAATAAATTACCAATTTGTCATTGGTAGGGATAATTCCAAGGCGGATATTAATCCAGGGAGAGGTCAGTGTAGACTACAGAGCATAATAATAATAATAATAATAAGAAGAAAACCTTAAAGATTCGATTATAATTTATTTTGTG